AAGCCCGCCCGGCTATGATATGTTCGCTGTTGCAAAGAACTAAGCAGTTTCATTAGGTGGTTCTAGTTGGTGCGATAAAATTCTGGTTATTTAACCGTATTAGGTGAAAGCAGTTAACAAACAGTTTTTCTCAAACTTAACAGTTTGATTATCATTTTATTTATGGTTATTTTACTGTTTTGACTAAATATGATAAAATAACTATTCAATAAATTGTTATTTAACCATTTTTTCCGAGAGGTTTCTAACAGTGCACATTTAAATGCAAAAGTTAGACATAGTAATGAAATGAATCACGAATAACTGTCTAGAACAGTGATTAAAAAATGGTTAATGCGATATATAGATAGTGCCATTCTTCGATAATTTTTAGCTATTCAAATTATCAGATAACATGCAAAAAGTGTGTAAAAATGCCCAATATCTTAAGACAAACATCAAAAATTTATTGTTAACTAATTTTTTTCCTTATTTAAGCAGAAAAAAAAATTGTTCTGTATTTACAGCCATGGTAACGTAAAATGAAAAATTGCTATCATTGCTTACATTTAAAAGTAAGAAGTAGATATCATAATAAATGATCGAGAAAACAAAATAACAAATAACAGTCTACAAGACCGATTAAGCATAAGTGAGAGTGATTTGTATATTAAATTACCTTTGTGTTATTTGCTGCCCGCCAAACAAGGTGATTTTAAAATTAATTGAAGCAAATTATATGATAACATGTAAAAATGGGCAAAAATGTAGAATAACTTGACAAAAAACATAAAAAATTTATCATGAAAAATTCAATCTGATTAAAACTTTTATTATGATTTACGCCTACAACAATATAGGATGGAATTTTTTAGTCTTTACTTACATTTAAATACATGCGCTAGACAAAAGACGGTGAAATAAATTACAAGTAGTACTCTACAAAGGGGATTAAGCATAAGTGACAGCGATTTGTATATTAAACTTTTTTATGCCATATGTTGTATGTCATGTACAGTCAAGTCAATTATCATAAATTTTGATGCATGGTTTGATAACATGTAAAAATGCGCAAAAATGCTTAATATCTTATTAAAAAAAATTATCACGATGAATTCAATCTAAAAATAAAAAAGACTTTTGTCGTGCTTTACATTTACTACAAAATGAGATGGAATTTTTCAGTCTTTTCTTGCATTTAAGTACATAAGTTAGATGGTGAAATAAATTACAAGTAACAGTCTACAACGGCAATTAAGTACAGGTAAAAGCGATTTCTATGTTAAGTCAGCTTTGTGTCATTGTTTTCGATTTGACTCCACCTTCAAGGTACATAGCATATGAAAGATAATAGAATATTTCGGCCTTAACCTTCCGGTCTTTCAAACGGGACAATAATTGTAGTAATTGGTATGGACCGTAAGATTTCGTAACCTTCTTTACAAGCAGATTATATCTCGTATGATAAAAGGTAAACCGATCAAGAAATATTTTAATTGCCCTACTAGAGTAAAAGTTGTCTTTTGTTTTCAACGAGAGTTTGTCATGCTCTTCAATGCATATTGTTGAACAATAATTATTTACAGTAAAAATAGAATGTTTTCTACAGACAGTTTTATTTTCGTATTCCATCAGAACAGTATTGGTACAGTGGCGGAAAAATCAAATGGTCTTAGGGATGTGTATGTCTACAGATAATTTTATTTTCGTATTCCATTAGAACAGTATTGGTACAGTGGCGGAAAAATCAAATGGTCTTTGGGATGTTTATGTCTACAGATAGTTTTATTTTCGTATTCCATTAGAACAGTATTGGTACAGTGGCGGAAAAATAAAATGGTCTTTAGGATGTTTATATCTACAGATAGTTTTAACTTCGTATTCCATTAGAGCAGTATTGGTTCAGTGGCGGAAAAATCAAATGGTCTTAGGGATGTGTATGTCTACAGATAATTTTATTTTCGTATTCCATTAGAACAGTATTGGTACAGTGGCGGAAAAATAAAATGGTCTTTGGAATGTTTATGTCTACAGATAGTTTTATTTTCGTATTCCATTAGAACAGTATTGGTACAGTGGCGGAAAAATCAAATGGTCTTTGGGATGTTTATGCCTACAGATCGTTTTATTTTTGTATTCCATTAGAACAGTATTAGTACAGTGGAGGAGAAATCAAATGGTCTTTGGAATGTTTATGTCTACAGATAGTTTTATTTTCGTATTGCATTAGAACAGTATTGGTACAGTGGCGGAGAAATCAAATGGTCTTTGGAATGTTTATGTCTACAGATAGTTTTATTTTCGTTTTCCATTAGAGAAGTATTGGTACAGTTGCAGAAAAATCAAATGGTCTTTAGGATGTGCATGTCCACGGATATTTTTACTTTCGTATTCCATTAGAACAGTACTGGTACAGTGGCGTGGAAAAGTCTTTGGCCAATATAGTTTTTATAACTTCTTTTAACTCTTCAATGCAAATTGTTGAATAATAATTATTTACAATATAACTAGAATATTCTCTGGGATTTGGGCAATATATTTTTTATAACTTCTTTCAGTTGCTTATTAAATAATTTTAAAACATGTATATTAAAAAGACACATAGGAAATCTGCGCTGCATCGAAATCATAAAGCCGTTTTGAAAGACAAAAAATTCTTATTATATTTTTCGTTGAAATGAAATTAAAATAACAATAAACTAGCCGAACACTTTTGCACTCTATTACATAATTAAATTTAAGTGAAAACACAATGGTTGGCTTGTAGTACATGGTCTTATATTGCTAAGTGCGCAAATAATCATGCAATAAAATCAACTCAGTTAAAAACTTTGAACACAATTATTTTTTTACGTTTTGCTTACAACAAAATAAAATTGTTTCACTCTAAAAAATGCATTCACTTTGGCAGTTGCCAAGTTTATTATTGTTACTTTAATTAATATATGGTATTAAAAGACGCATTTTTATGATGTTCGAAAATATTATTTTTATACGTTCACAAGTTATGAATAGTTATAATATTTATGTCCACGTTCTTTAAGAATATCCACAAAAATTATTTGCAATATTTGCTTACTATATGACAAGTATCTGCGATTGTTTTTTAAGTTCACATTTAATTTACAACCTATTTTGAAAATGAGTTGGATGTTAAGAATGGAGCAATATAAATATTTAAATCTCTCATAAAGATCACAAAAATATATTGAGCAAGGAATAGCAAATTAACTTGAAAGATTACAAAATACTATTTTCATATAATTTAATTTTGCATGAAATTATCTTAAGTTAATAAATTAGTATACAATTTGAAGAGTAATGAAAGTCACATCGTAATTTGAATGATCATAAAAGAGGAAAAATAATATGTGATGCAATAATAAATCATTTTCAAATTAAAATTTTATAGCTATTACCTTAAACGAATCCTAAAACATAAAATATTTTACTGTCTTTTGCGATGCCCAAAACGGACTCTTATGTCTCAGCTGCTTCGAAATTGTTTTCTTTTTATTACACAATTATCATAAAATAGCGACATTATTGTTTTAGGAAGACTTTGGGTTATTTTTGTTTTCTACATTTGTAGCTTTAAGCTATATTTGAAAGTTTTTAAAACAATTTACTCTAAACTCAAAGAGGGTCTGTTATTTGCAAATGAAATTTTACTAATTCCATATAATTTAGCTTAAAAAATACATAGATTAAACTAAAGGACAGATTAAATATAGAATAGGTAGAAGGACATAGATTAAATTATACATAAATTTAAGACACACTTAACGTTATTATTAGATTTAATAAAGATTATATTGATTAAATATACTACAAATAGGTTGTTCAATGCAATCCATATGTCTCTATGTAGCGCAGCAACTGTTTTGCTTATTCCTATTCGAATTAAGTATCATTAAATAATTTTAAACGAACAAGATAATATATTTTAATCGAATATATTATATTTATAATATATAAGGCAATAAATTTTAACCGAACTGGAATTTTGAAGTATAGTTCAAATATAAATTAATTTCCTAAGAAAACATTCTCTAATGAATGACTGTGTTAAATACATATTTAAGATGTTAATTCTGCCTAACTTTATTTTGTGTTAAATATTTGTACACATAGAATAAAAACTAATATTTATTGTGTATAACAAAAAATAAATACATTTTGAAAAGATACAAAATTGTTTTCATTAGCTTTTATTTTATATTAAGTTTGTATTTATTTATTTTGCATCTTGAAATATTTTTATACTTTATATAGCATAAAAAGTAGAATGTGCAATTAAAATTACATAACTATATATAAATGTTTAAAAAAATGTAATAGGAGTGTATAAAAAATTTTAAGTATATTAAAAAATATGAGAGTTTCTAAATATAAATAAAATTTATAATTTGTTTTAAATTTTATTAAAATTTCTAATTTTTATGTACTACTTTTAAATACACTGTTTACTTTTTAAATTAAGTTAATAAGTCAAGTAATAAAACAAAATAAAAAATAATGCAATTAAAATATAAAGTAATAAAATAAATTTTATATGATGTAAATAAGTATCGTAAATAAAGGTAATAAGATAAATAACTTTCATAACTATTACAAATAAGCTAATACAAATTTTAATGTAACTAATCTGAAATATTTAAGATTCTATTTAAAAACATAACTACCATAATAAAGAATATTTCAAAAGATTTATAATACTTACGATATATCAAAATGACACTGCCGTTTGCCTTTAAAAATCATACGACTTACCGAGATTATATTTTGATGAATTTTAAAGACTCTGTATATACAGAACATGTCGTCTAATTACCAAAAAAAAATCGACAATTTTTAGAGCATTATTTTTTTTCTTCAAACTATACATACATTGCACAAAGAAATTCCACCGTTTCAATCTAAATACCATTGAAGAGGCACAATTGCGTTAAAAAAATATTAAGCCAAATTATAACAGAAACGCTAAAAATTGTCGATTGAAAGATGTGAAATTTACTTACATTTGATGCTGACTGGACCAATAAAGAATTTATGCTGGTTCGAACCCTATTCTTCAAAGTAAAAGTTCCGTTGCATTTTCCCTGCAGTAATGCGTGGGCAGCATTGATTCTTGTTTGAATGTCTTCAGAATCTGACTTTTTATCCGTGGATGAAGAACTGTCTAGTTCATGCATATGAAATTGCATATCCCAAGCATTACCATTGAGCACTTTGTTTTTATCATCGGTATCTTTATCCGAATATGAAGCAATGGTTAGTTTTACATTGCTTTTACCGTTACACATAACACTGTTTTTTGCTACTTCATTGTTGTAAAGCTCTGTGTTGGTTGTTTCAGACATAGAAGAGAATTGAGAGTGTCCATTAACACTCACTACACGTGCATGGTGTGTATTTCTTGAGGAAGAGAATCCAGAATCAGTTCCATCATCAGCTTCCCGATCTGAATCCGATCTTTCACAATCACTTCCAGGAGCACTTGATGCACCGCTACTACTTCTCTCATCTTCAGCTTTGATGATCATAGAAGACCCAACCATCACTGATATCTTATCATTGGTATAATCCAGACTCTTATTATTAAAACTCCCGTTTGAATTGATAAGGACTTTTGGTTGGGATGCCACGTTGTTATCCATATCTTTTATTAATGAAGTTTCTGTAGAAGATTTAACACGAATCACGTGTACCAACTGAGGAGCGACATCAATATCATTGTTGATATCCAAAGATGAGGAAGTACTGTTGGGCTGAGTAAGATTGTGAGTATCATCAGAGAAGCGTTGCGCACCGCTGCGCCAAGTAATAGTAGCCTTAGCCCATTCGGAAGAAGTTTCTGTCTTATCTTTGTTACCGCTAAGTCGTTCAACTGATTCATCTGCTGCCGAAGTCGTAGACGGATCAACGGTAGTTCCATTTACCCGCACTGAAATTCCACCACCGCCGGCATGAATCCGGTTCGAATGCGGCTCGCTGGCCAGCATTTTAAGTCTTTTACTGCGTGTTCAATGATAGATGATTTTCTTTTTGACAAAAAAATATTCCACAAAATTAAAAAAAAAATTACTTTGGTAAAAATTTCAAAGTTCGAGATAACGGGAAAAAATGAAACTTCGATATAAGGAAACCCAGTAGCCGAGGCAACGTCTGTCTGCACCGGTAGAATGAAAACAGCTTAATGAGTTCGTTCTAGAAGTGAATTCTACTAACCTGAAATTGTAGAACGTGCTTCGCAAGAAAGAGCGCATGCGCATCACCTGTTGCGTGTAAAGAAGGGGCGCTGCTAAGCAAAACATTTTATGACAGTTTCGAGTTGTTGGTTTTTTGATAGACGGAAATTTTTTCTTGAAATCTGGCATGCTGTTTACATTTAGGAAACGTGAAATAGTTTTATTGCTTTAAATGCTCTAATGTTTGATTTACAAGCCAATTTTAAACTCGATTGTTTTATAAATTAAGCGAAAGATATTTTTCAATTTTAGTAAATTGCTATTAGTTTAAAAACTTTTCACTTTTTCACTAAATTAGTAACTTCGTTTTTATCTTTTTTTTTTTTTTTTGATTAATGAGTGCTTAAGATAAACGTTCTTATGCATGACGAATATAAATTAAACTAAATTTAAAATTATTACTCTACTTTTTATAAAAAAATTTTTATAAGTAATATTGTAACTTTTTTCACAAATGTTAAATAGACTAAAATCATTACGCCATTTCATAATTTAAACTTTAGTTTACTTTAACTGGGCTGTTCATTCGAAATTAAATCTTTTCGAAAACAAATTGCTTGATAATTCAATTGATTCAAAGTATTTTAAAAATATATTTAAAAAAATGGTAATTCATTATTTGGTTTATATTTATTACTTTTTTAACACATTCAATTTTTTAGTTCAGGTACTAATGAAATTTTATGGACGCATTTTTTATATTTTTAAACATAGAAATTTTCAAAATTTAGTCTTTTAGATATGAAAATTTTTCTTTTATTAATTATTTTTTTTCAATTTTTCTCAATTATTTTTTGTTAATTATAATTTTAGTTTGCGTCACTTTAATTAATTTGTGTTTAATTGTTGTCGTTTACTCACTTGAAACTCTTTAGAGAATATAATAATTTTTATGATATTACTAGTTCGATTGTTTTTGTTATTTTGCTCAAATATATTACTTTTTCCAATAAATTAATCCGGTTTTTTATTATATTTGGAGATTAAGGAGCATCTAGAATACTTAACAATCAACATATGTTACTGGAAATAGTTCATGCAATGAAATAATTTTTTTATGACATTAATATAACGCGAAGAAAAGGGATATGTGGGAAAGAATTATTTTGTTTTAAAATAAGTTTTTTAAATATTTGCATTGACTGTAGTTTAACAAAAATATTTTTATTTATTGTAATGAAATGATATTTCGAAACTATAAACAAACTTTTTATTTATTGTAAATTCTTGAAATATGCTTTTGAAGAAAAGCGAAAGTTCAATCCAAGCTTTCTCATTCCCTTAAATATCTCCATGTTTTCATTTTTTTTAAATTTTATTTATTTATTTATTTTATCACTATAAATAAGTCCGTATTACAAAATATATTTATCCATATGCAGATGTCTAAGAGTAGGCTTAAATATCGGCCTTGACTGAGCGTGGTTGACAATGACAATCCTATTGTGTGGGTATAGTTAGCTTTGAGACCGGAAGCTATAGGGTGAGGGCAAAAAAACAACACACCTATGTGACATTTATGTTAATCATAGATTGCCAACGTGGGTTTTATCGCCCCCTGAATTCAGTGGCGACTTTTAGGGGGCGCTGGCAAGAAAATGTATATTTCAGGGATTAACAAATGTATATTGAGGGGTTGTTAACAAACTATGGATGGAATTAGTATTGAGTACCTATTAAAATTTATAATTTTTTTGGTTTGGTATTAAAGAATTATTTATATTTCTATTATGTGTACAATATGCATTTATATTATTAAAACTAATTATACCAAACTAATTACTATGATACTAAATAAAATGCTAAAATATGCCTCCTTAAATAAGCATGTATTTTTCAATGGATTCTTATTCGTGAATTTCAAACTGTTAATAGTGTTCACTGGATGCAATAGGCTGTGAAAAAAAAGGAAGAGTTTACCTTTAACACAGAAAAAGTTACCGGTGTTTCATGTTGTATTTCATAATCAGAATTATTAAAACGCTAAATATTATATTTTTCATTTATTTTGACATAAATTAGTACGAAATAATGAAAAAACTATGAAAATTTTGTTTCATAAAAGTTCTGCGTGAAAAGATTAACTATAAAAGTATTGCGAGAATAAACTTTTCAGTCCTTTCTTCGTTAAATAAAAAATGAAAAGGCCTTTAAGTTAACGTAGTTGACCAAAATAATGCCAGAAATGGCGATGTTTTAACTTGTGGAATAATATTTGGCAACATAATAAGCGGTATCCTGTTTTGACAACTAATTGTGTTGTCAAATTAAAGTATTGGAAGAAAATGAGACAAAATGTGTTTCTTAATATTCTACATCAATGAATGCTACATTATTTTCTTTATATTGAAGAATATCAAGGTCTTTTAAAGACAAGCTTTTAATACACCTGTCAAAGTTGTTTCATAGCAAATTTTGCATCGTAGTTGCAAAGCTCCAACAACCACATGTTAAATACTTAGAAAAGTTCTTACTTTTTATGATAAAGTTACATCAAATTAATATTTAAATTATCATAAATATGCACAAAATGTGCCTTGAATGTTGAAAATTTTTATTTGAAAATACATGAACATCTAGTTATTAAAAATTCAGTCTCATGATTTCGCATTACCTGTATTGCATTTTTTTAAGGATGAATGCTTTTTAAATTTTTAATGGACAATTCTTACACTATTTAATTAATCAAAAACTATGAACACAATCAAAGAAATCCTGTCAAGCACGAACGATTTTTAGACGAAGCAGATGTGTAGGTGGATATATATGGTTTGTTGGAAGTTTAATGGATATTAGAAGACAAGTTTTTCTCAGACAGCGTGGGCAATAGTTAGAGTTAATTTCAATACTTCAGTCAATAAGTGATGTTTCTTAGAAATGAGATCATTGTTCTTATAAAAAGTAATTTTCAAAACCACATTTTATGACACCCATTTAATGCCATGTTTCACTAAAGTAATTCTTATAAAATGCTTCATATTTCTAAATTAGAAATGTTAACAAATTTATTCAATGCGTAACCTCTAAATTCATGAATATTAGGCGCAAACATAAAATACTTCATAATTGTAGAACTTAAAAAGGAAAACTAACCTTTTTGAAAAGAAAAAGAATTTTCTTAGTCTTAATTAAGAACAAAACTTTGAATTGTTTCGTCAAATCATTAAACTTCACAGAATTAAGTGGATGAAGGTTCTAAATGTACTGTAAAAAATTTCTCAAAAGCAAAAATGTGTCTGAATTGCTCCGAAATAAATTAGAGTCAAATTTGAAAACCTTATTCAAAATTGAAACAGCATGCATTCATTTGTGAGCAAAATGTATAGTCTCAAGCGAAATAAGGGGGGAGATATGTATGAGAGAGACGATCATTGACTGCCAGCAAGATACGAACCAAGGTTCTCCGTTTTGTAGTTGAATCCTCTAACCACCATAGTTGTGCAACCCCAATGCAAAGAATTATGAAGCTTTATATAGTGACCTCCGCAATGAAGCATCATGACGTACGAATTTCCAATTTCAATGATACAGAGAGTTGCGATTTGGAAATTATGGTCCTCATATCTTAGTCAGGAGATCTATAATTTTAATTTCCCTTTTTGCTTCATTCGTTATATCTTAAAAACTTTTACGCTTTTTATGCATTTAAAGCAGCATTTATTATGTTCGTGTAAAATTAAGATCCAAGACAGAAACGATAAAGAGAAAGAACGAAAGTATTTTAAATGTCGTATCAGTTTAAATGCTATGAAAATACTTCTTGCCTATGAAGTGACCCACTATCTTTAAATTACTGATCAAAATTCTTGGTCTTCATACAGTGTTGTGACTCTTGCTTTTTTCCCCGGCAGAATAAATGTAACATCATGATTTTTTTTAAATAGAATTTTTTCAAGTATTTTAAATTATATTTAAAAGATGTGCTGCTTGAATATCAAGACAGATGGTTAAAAGATGGGCAGATTTTCCTTCAATAGTAGTGGAAGAAGTTTAAAAGGGAAAATTCCATTTTCAGTAAATTCTGAGATTAACATTTAATTAAACAAAAAATGAGAATCTCATCAAAATTTTCAAAGCATTCAAACTAATAAAAAGCTTCAAAGTACACTATAACCATACTCCATGATAAATCGCAAAGACCTTTGAAGAACTGATTTCGAAGGTTTTTTAACTACATAGATATCTTTGCTAAAATGTAGCCATTATTCGTTTGGAAATTCATTTTGTTCTTCACTCATGCCTTTTTGCGATGAATCAATAAAAATTTTAAAAAATACCTTAAGTACAGTGCACGAAAATAAGCAAATAAATAAAATCCAATCACTCTAATTATTTTTAAACTAGTGATTTGTATATTTGTATGCTTTACAATAAAAATACATGCATATCTTAAACTTCAAATTTTTTCAACCGATCGAAAATATCAAATAATCTTATATTATCAGCATCAAATTATCTTTGGATAAACGAGTTTCATAATTACGTTCGAAAATAGTTTGATTTTCTTTAATAGTTCAAGAAATTTGAGGAAATGTACAAAATTTTCGTACATTTCCTCAATTTGTATAAAATTTGTTCCGAATTTGTACTAAAGTGCCGAATTGGGGAATTTACAGTAAGAATGCAAATGTTCAATCAATTGCCTGCAAATCAATTCAGACAATATTTTCTAAATGGAGCTATCCCACATATTTTAAGGTAAAATGTTTAAGTCTGTCGAAAACAAGGTATTTCTATTTCGAAAAGGCACTTTTGTACAAATTAATTAGCATATTTCAAATGAGACCCTCAAATCATTAAAATTATTGAAAGTCTGATCAATAGATCAAGAGATATTAAGGGGTTCTGTTTTCTATTTTCTGCGCAGTACATCCGAAGTTATGCAGGGAAAACAGACGGATAACTTCACAAATTTATGAAGGACTAAATATAGAAGTGATTTAATAAATATATGATAGTAAATTTCTCCAAAAGAATTGC